CTGGATTCATTTTTTGATTTATTGGCTAAGATCAGGTTTGTTTGATCACTTTTTTTATTTGTGGCTTATATGTGTGTGTGATCGATTTATATCCTAAGTTTGGTACTGTATCACCTACTGTATCATAGCAACAGCAGGTTTCTTGTTGCTGTTGCTATGATACAAGACTTTCAACTTCCATTTTTTCACATACTTATAATGAAGTTGTCATGAAAGCATGAAAATTATTGCTTGGAAACACAGTCTAATCCTGAACCTTGAACTGGTCAATTATTGTGCTGAATCTGTGAGACCCAATGGAAAATTCCAATAAGTTGATTTTTCTGTGACTGTACATGAACAAAATTTATTTTTGAAGATTCCATCAGAAATATCAGGCCTGATTCAAGTTGATTGTTGTGCTAATTTTTGTCTGAAAACCGGTCAAAAATAAAATCTGATGTCTCATCTGTGCCAATTCTCCAACAAAATAAATTCAAAGTATGAAAGGTATCTTTTCTGTCATGAAGTAAGGTAAAAGCAAATATGAAATGCTATACCCGTTGTCAACACAACTTTACACACGCAACAACAACAACCTAATTTTGACATGAAAACTGGTTCAAATAACTTTGTAATTCATACCTTAAAAAAATTGGACTAAATGAAGTATAACTGATGCATATGTTAAATATTTGCTCAAGATCATTTGTTCCACACAATGTTCACTTGAACATTGTTCCCACATTGTTCATTATAAGAAGAGAGCAAGAAAGGCCTTGTTTCAAGGAATATTTCCTTTTTTAAATGCCCTTCCATCTTAATTAGGGAACTTTTTACAGACCTTCAAAGTTTGGGAAACATTTTTGATATTGATTTATTTTTTAACAGTTTATTGCAATTATTTGGAGCTGGATGATCCAGCTCCAATAATGTATTTGTTTCTGCATTTGTTACAGTAAATTAATATTGAACATTGCTGAAAATGTTCATTAATCAACAGAATTGTTTTTCAGATAAAATATTTCAAGAAATATTTCAGCATCAAGGTAAAAATAAAAAAGGTCAGATTTTTTATGATGGAAATTTTGCTGAGGTTTTTTTACACATAGAATGATTTCCTGAACTCTTTTTACACCTCAAAAGCACACCAGATCCTAATTTTCTAAATTAATCTGATAATACCTCATTTTAGTATAAATAGCAGAAGTATTTGCATTGTACCTAGCTTGTGAGTGCATAGCTAGATGTGTCCGTGACAGACTCTCACTCAGATGGCCTCAGTTCAAAACCCAGGAGCATCATCAGGACAGCAGATTCAAAGCAAAGGAGCAGCAGCAAGAAAGAATATTGTGAACAGAAAGCACACAGAGATGAAAGAGGAAAGAGTATAACACAAAGAAGGCAAAATAAAGAAGTAAACAGCAGCAATTTAATGGGAATTTGTTTATCTTTTTCTACTGCTTTCAGACATGGGGGGATGCTTTTATTGGGGGACATTCCCCCAAATGTTGGCCAATCCATGTCTGAATGGGTTCCCAATGCAAGCCAGCATGCATTGGCCAATGCTTACGGGAACATCCCCAATGCATGCCAGAATGGGTTCCCAATGCAAGCTAGCATGCATTGGCAAATGTTTGGGGGAATGCCTGTTCTCAGTTGTTGGGCAGTGACCAAATGGCTGTTAGCCCAACATTTGGATCCCAATGACTTGCCAATGGCTTTGCAACACAGGTTGCAATGGCCAAATTATTTGCTGGGTACATCCATGTTGACTGTATAACATCACAAGGATGTGCCAAATATGAAACTCAAGCTGGAAAAAGGTGACCTTCATTTTATTATAGTGGGTTTGTCCTTTGTCATCATTGCAGGTCATGCCAAGGGAACATATTGGTCAATTCAAAGGGTCGCCCTTCAAAAATTGCCTATGGCAACGATTGGTTTTTGTTGACATATTTTCAGAATATACAATATATGATTTTTGCGTCAACTGAATATCATAAATCATAATCAAAGTATGTTCGATGTTACTCTATTTTTCCGTTCAAGACAAGACGTGCATTAGGTTGAGGTGATGGAGAAGTTGTATTTGGAATAACCAAGAGGGTATGAAGAAAATATATGTATACATTTAAATATTATTTCTTTTTTTTAGATTAAATATGATTAGTGTTATTCAAATGAGACTCATGGCATTTTAAGAATAGCCTCAATGATGTGTTAATCATGGATAGAATTCAATGTGAAGTTTTTAATGTATGTTCAAATTATTATTAAATTTTTTGACGCAATTTACACTGAGTAATTGTTCCCGGAAAAGAATTTGGAATCGTCGGAGTTGAAACTCATAAGAGGTTCAACTCGCTCAAGACGTGCTGTGTTATTCAGTCGAAGAACTTGTTTAGATGAACACTGCACTTATTGCTGTCTGAGAATGTTTACAGATCTTGCTTCACATATTTTTACTAATGCTTGTCTGCTTCCGCGGGTTCCCATTTTGAGTCCCTCATATTCTTTGGGTGATATTTGGCAAGAAACTCGGCCTGGAATCTGCACGCAAGCTTTTGAACTTCTCTCGTAATTTTTGTGTCGAAATACTGTACTGTATTAGCTGATTTAGAAGCTGAGTTGAATTACTTCAAAGAATTGGATCTAATTTATCCGTGATTTAATGACTGAAGTCTGCTACAAATATATATTTTGCGTACATTCCTTATAGCAGTTTTTTTTATTGTGGAAGAACCTTCACAGCTGAGCTGAATATTCAAACAATTATTGGAAAAGTAGAAAAATTTGAAAGGAATATTATGGTGTGATTCCTTTACGATAGAGAACACGTTTGGTAATCATTTTTTTCATCAGCTTACGCTCTTTAGCATGAAACCGCGTTGATCTCACCGAAAAATAAAATAAAATAATGGCACACATCAGAAAACTCAAAATAAATTCCATAAATTAAGGAAATTTGGAATTTCATGGATAATTTGAAAATTGTGAAGAATTGCTCGATTTTTTGCATCATCTTGTATCATGGAAAATTATCCTCTTCTTTTTTTCATGTTCGGCATTTGAACTCTTTCCTTCAATTGAATTCTTTATTAGCATTTTTCATTGCGTTATTCATACGACCTCCATGAGTGCCATGCATACAGCACAATGCAGGTGCACAGCATACTTATAAATTCAGTAAATAGCAGCAGTGGTCTGAAATTGACCATCATGGTGGAAAGTATTTGACGTCAAATATAGCACGTGAGCGAATAGGGTTATTTAGCAAGAAGCTCGTCGTGCATTGATCCAGAAAATTGTCAAGGTTTTTGGCATGAAGCGCATATGTGCATTCTTCAATGTTGCACGGAAATTTTGGCGAAAATTCATGAGCTTGTGCTGCTTTTTCCGGGATCAGGAAAAAAACCTTTTTTTTTAATTACGATTTTTTTTCTTGGTTAACGAAATTATTTCCTACTTTCAATCATTCATTGATATTCACATTGATTTATGCAAAATGACTTGCCTTGAATATGAATTCTCATGAAAAATCGCGAAGTGCACTAGAAAACGTAAATATGAGATTTAATTTCTTGCTACAATCAGATCGCCAAAATAAGAAATGTTCTCTTCGACTTTATTTTTGGTGTGCAGTATTGTTAAAAATACTTGCATGAAAATATTACATTCTCGTCAGAGCACTTCTATTCAAGTGCAAATTATCACGAAAAAATGCGAAAAGTATCACGCCCGTAAAGTTAATGCGAATGCAGGAAGAAAAAAAAAAGGTACAACTGAAGCAAAAGAAGATGCCTGGCACTGCCTCCCAGGATTTTTAAACATCTCACTATATGAATCACAGACGTGATTCTGTGCGTTCACCAGGATATCAAATAGAAGCATAAAATAAATAAACAAGCAGGAACTGACTCAGCTATGATTGTAACATTTAAAAAAAAAGATCCAAAAGCTCCGAAAGAAGGTTATTGTTGATGACGATGACGACGAGTCTCATCGCTGTGGCAACGTCGACGAACCCCGTCGACGTTGCCACAGCGACGCTTCCATATTGCTGCCCTGCTGGCACTCGTGTTTCAGTAGCTCCTCTTCTGGAAAGGAAACGGAAAAGAAAGATTAAATTTTTTTTAAACGGAAATTTTTATCTTGACAGCGCGTTCTTCCGGACTAAGCCACGACTTTTTTTTTTAGGAAAAAATATTTCTTTTTCTGAAAAAAGCTCGTACAGTATATGTGAAGTGTTACGTCATATAGCGAAGGCCTTTCAAACTGAAATGATTTTCCACACAAACTTCAAACGTGTCATGCTAGTCATCTTCTGAATAACAGTCTTTATATGATAACTCTAAAAACATTTGCCGTGAGACTCGTGACACAATTGATCGAAAGAAAAAGAAACTTGTTTCATGACTTGTGTTTCCGGAAATGAAATTTCTTCGTGGGGTATAGGTTCTGAAATGAAATAGAACCTGAGTACTGTACATTGCTCAAAGAAATTTTTATTGTTGGCGGAATTCTTGGCTGAGCAGCAATTCTATTTGAAGAATTTTTCTTGAATAGAAGAATTTCTTTTTTCAGTGAGCATATTCCAGAAATGCGTTCGGGGTTTTAATCAAAAAATTAAACTGTATCTCTTTTTGTGAACGTGAAACCGGCAATTTATTAATATGGGAGTGATCTTACACCAACATAGACAAGAAAGAAATTAGCGAAAATTATATGGACCGAAGTGCAATATTTTAGAAAGAAGACCGCCTGCGGTAAAATGCATGAGTTCGAAGTGTTTTTAATTATTCTACACTTGCTGCTGGTTTGGGAACTTGAAAATGGAACGAAAACAAAATAATATACTTGAAATAAAGGGAATGTCTATGAGATTCCGTTGTGACAGCCGCAGACAATATTTTGATTTGAATTGAATCCTTGGAAAAATATTTCATTCCATGCTCACGGTCGTCAAAACATCGATACTTTCCTAGAATTTCTGATATGTTCATCAAGAAATGACGATATTGCTTTTTTTTTTGGAAAAGAATTGTCTCAAAGTCGCCCGTTCATTTGGTGAAAAAAGTGAAAAAGTTGACGAGAATTTTGTGAGCCCCTTGCATCACACGCGAGAAGTGTTCTTCATCAAAAAATGGAAGTCCATGCGTCACTACTATCACTAGTCAAAGCAATCGTAGATACTTCCAAAACTGACGAAGAAATTCTGGAATACCAGGAAATTGCGTCCAACATTATTGACCAAATTATACCATTGCCTGAGGGAGCCACAGCAGTGACAGCACCTCACCTTGGGTACAATGCCCTGATGCTAGCCTGTCAATATGGGCGGCATAAAGTGGTGAAGGCGTTGTTGGATAAGCGTGCTGATCCAACCATAAAATGTGAAAACCCTGTTCCTGGTGCGAGTGCTCTTCATTGTGCAGCCTCCAATGGGCACCCAGAGTGTCTAGGTTTGCTGTTGAAGAAGATTGAGGTGAGACTGTTGATCAGGATGAAAAATTTTCATTCCCCCATTTTCATGGACAGCCGCCTTCACAGCCGCCAAAGTGGCGGCCAATGTGGCAGCTGTGAAGGCGGCTTTTGATGAAAATTGCGGAATTGCCTTGGATGACCTGAAGGCAATCCTTAGAAAGAATGTCACGCTGATTTCAAAAATTCTGAGGGGAAAGCTGGGTTACAACAAAAAAGGGCACCTCATCTTTTGAGTGGAGAGCAAAACTCTGCCAGGGTAAATTATGAAAAAAATAAAAAAAAATGGTCAAACAGGGCTGATGTTATTGTGTGTGCCAAAGAATATGTTTTCCCTAAAGAAAAAATTTGTTTCAGGTCAACTGTAGGCCATTTTCATTGCTACTCCAAGAACTTTTGTTATAACCCTTGTGTGGTACCATAAGAAGTGAAACATCTATTTAGCCTTGTATGGCAAAGTTGGGATGGTAGGAAATTTTTTTTACCTATATGAGCACTGCAAATTAGAAAAATCAGATTTTTTAACCAATGCACAAATCTGGTAAAAGTTAGGTATTTTTTATAATTCCCCTGAATATATTGCCTCAAAAATAAAAGTAAAATCCTCACCTGGTGGCATTTTTTTCATGCATTCCTAGCATTGGATTGACACTGGGGATTCCTTGAGACATCAAGATTTTCTGTACCCAGATTTTTTATAACCTAGGCCTTGCGACCTTGGTGCATTTCAGTGACCTTCAGTCAATCTGAAATACCCCTCACCCAAAAAAGAAAACCAAACTTTTCCAGAGGACAGCAAGGAACCCTCTGCCATCTGAGGGTTAACATACTGTGGATGGATAAGGTTGTCTTTTGTTTTCCAGCTCCTCTGCTCTGCTTCTAAGCTTTTCAGCTTTGCAAAGCTCTCAAAAAAGTGGGGACACTTTGTTGTCACACCAATTTAACAGAAAACAGGAAAGTACTGTACATAATTTGTAGTTATTTTGACTTACTCTGCTTAGTTATAGCTGTTTGCTTCATTTATTCTTGAATTGTCACTCCTCCAGATCTAATACTATGCCCTTGTTCTCTCCAAATCTCTAATTAACTTTGATTCTTAACATAAATGAACAAATTGAAAACCAGCTATAAAAGGAAAATGTTGTACACATGGTACTGTGCAATTTGACCTTAACCCTTGATGGACGGCGGCAGCCTCCTTTCCATCCCAGGGCAAAGTCAGACTCTTTCCTGATGGGGGTGCATTATATTTTTGCACAAGGTTATGCAACCCCTGCTAGGTGGGGGAGGGCAAAGTCGGATTTTTTCCCGGGATAATGAAATGCTGGGAAAGTCCTGAGTTGGACTTTTTCCATATTGACCTCCAACCTGGGCTCCTGGCTTTCAAGCTTAAATTTAATCTGTGAATGATGGGGAAACAACACAAGGCCAGGGAAAAAAAGCGAGCCTTGAAGCTTTCATTTTTTTGTTTTCAGGTGAAATTTTTCTGTGGAAAATAAAAAAAATGCCAGGATTTTTCCCAACTTTGCCCTGCACACACTGTTGGGGTTTTTTTAATTCCACTCTGGAGTGCCACAAAAATCTGCAAAAAGAGTCCAACTTAGCCGCAGAAGGGTTAATCCATTGCAGGACTATAGGGTCCAATTGCAAAGTAGTCAAATTGCAAGCCAGTGTGTACAATTAAGGAACAGCCACAAAAACGCTAGAAAAGTGGCTGAAGGAGGTCAAATTGCAAGGCAAAGATTGAATTGCAAGTCAACCTGCCCGCAAAATTTGTCAGTCAAATTGTGGGACAATCAAATTTTGGGAGGTCAAATTGCAAGGGACCACCTGCACAATGCACTAAACGGACTACAGTAAATCTTACACTTTCTTTAGTGCTGGACTAGGGTCACAATGCACTGAAGAAAGTCTGTCACTGTCTTCAGTGAATAGTAAAGAAAGTGTACGAATCTCCACTTTCTTCCTTTTCTTTTTTCTTCCCCCACTTCTGCATCATTCAAGGATGCATCAACGCTTTGGATGCACTACACTGCAGCAAGAAAAGAATGAAAAGAAAAAAAGGGTTGGCCAAACCTGGTTCCACATTTTGCTCCAAGAGTTGGGTTTAAAATTCCAGTAACAATTAACGCACAGATTTATTAAAAATGGGAAAGAGGGGAAGAAAACATTGGTATTTCTCCCCAAAAATTGATCATAAAGCAAACGATTCAGTGTTTAACACACAAACATGCATGAGTGTCTTAACATTTGCAACCAGCAGTAACTGGTCATTCACATTTTGCGACATATTACAATGCTGACTTTTTCTTCCTTACCGTTTCATTCTAGAGTCTTGAAGTTAGGGAGTCAATCTTGAATGCACAGAAAACAAAATGTGGGAACACTGCTCTTCATGATGCCGTAGGAGGAGCTCAAGTCTGGGTTCCATCTTGTTCAAGATTTGAGAAATGCGTGGAATTGTTGATTCGCCAACCAAAAATCAATTTAGACATTCCGAATAATGCGAACGGTGAGGTTTCATACGTTTTCTTTCATGCATGCGTTGATCATGATTCATAAATTATTATGGATTTCGGTATGAAAGAACGTGTGTTACTTAATACTCTTTTATTGCAGGGGATACGGCATTACATTTAGCTGCTCGATCTGGGAATCATACCACCGTTTCTCAGCTCTTAGTTTTTGGAGCAAACGCTTCTCTCCCAAACAAAAACAAAATTTGCGTTGGTCCTCAACTATTGAGCGTTTCGCCAGAAATGTTCAAATTGGCGCTGGACTCCTGCATCACGTTAAGCGACAAAAAATTGTATGATCCGGCTTTGGAAATGCACATGGACTTCGAAATCCTCATCCCAAAAGAAGGTGGGCCAAATGGAGGAAAAGCAAATACTGTAATCATTTGCCAAAAGCACATTCAGTATTTACAGTGTGACCCCCAGATGCAGACATAATTGGTGCATCAAGAGTGTCCCTATGTTGGATTGTCCCCAAGTCAAATCTTGTTTTCCCATAGACGTACATTATATAATTTTTAATTGGTGTTTTCCTGGAAGACATTTTCTTCAGGATGTCATGAAAAAAATTTTTCCACTTGAATTTGATTCAATGAATATATTTTCAAACCAATAAGAACATTTTGAACATTGAATAGTGTACCTCTGTACAGTAAATTGAAAAGTTGGCATCTGGAAAAATAACATCCATGCCACAAAGAGAGCTATAGAAGGAAGTCCCTCTGTGCTATAGGGCATTTTTAAAATTAGCTGAATGGATGGGAAAATGATGGGAAAAATACCAAAGAATTTTTCTTGCATGGATCTTAGGTTGGAAACATCTGTTTCTTGCAATTAAGCCTTATAAAAATCGATTTTCCTAAAATTTATTTTGGAATTTTATCCTGCAATGTCCTTGAGTCAATGTCCTCATGTCTGGTCTTTTTTTTATGATTTTTCTGTTAAAAAATAAATGTCCCCATGTTGAATCGTCTCCATGTCAAATTGTCCCCATGTCGAGGCGTCCGCATGTGGGGGTCTCACTTTATTTTTGCATCTTTGAGACAATATTATTTTCTGACGTGGCCGCTTGCAAATGATTATTTTAAATCCACTATCTTGAATAGGGGAAAATATGTACTTCAATCAATTCAACAATTTTCATTAATCCGGTTTCGACATTTGAAATTTTTTAATATGAATCCCGCAGGTAATGAGACAGCACTACTGGAAAAGATCGCAGGAAAGAGAGACTCTGATTCAATTATTTGCCACCCCTTGGTCGAAGCATTCATTCAGATGGAATGGCACGTGTGCAAAACCCGTCGATGGTTGTACATTTTCGTCATGACACTGATCCTCTTGGCTCTGCTATTGAGAGTTGGTTACTTGATGATGAAAAGTTCCATTGCCGGTTGTGAGTGAAATGTTTCTTTGAATTGTCAGAAATATTGCATGGTATATTAGTTCAAATGTCTTTGGTTGGAACAAAAATACTCCGTGTAACATGGCTATAAATTAGGTGAAAATCCATTTCCATCAATATTTTGTAATGATTGTAAAACAATTTGCATATTGATTATTGACAGACTGCATATATATGGAAAAAGGTGTTAATATGTACAGGTGGTGCCCTACAATGTGATCAATTGCTGAGTAAGGTTTGAATTTCAAAGCAGTTGAATTGCAAAACAATGTCAATTCTGATGTTTTCTACATTAAATTTGACATTTTGAGTCCCTCTGCTGGAGGTCAAATTGCAAAGCAAGAGTTCAAATTGCTAGTTGACATCCCAGCAAACCTGACAGTTGAATTTTGGGGTGTTCAAATGGCGAAATGTCAAATTGCAAGTTACCACCTGTATATAATTTTTATTAACATGAACGTCTTGTGTATGAATCACTTGAAATGGTTCCATAAGCAGTGTTTATTACCCAAACATAAATTAAATGAGACAGCGAGTCTATCCTGCAAAAAAAAAAATTTGCTCTTTTCTGATAAGCCTTTGTTAACCTAGGGTTTCACATATAAGCTTGCAAAAATTGAAGATTAACACCTTTTTTCGACATTTTCCAGCGGATACTGGAGATCCCCTTTTGACATGGGTGTGCCTCATGTTCTTTGGGGTCATCTCAATAGCACACATTTTATCAAATGGATGGAGAAGTGTGTGCAAACTGGCTCTCTGGTTGGATGTCATTGTGTGCATCTTTTTACTTCTTTGCATTTTTCTGGATCAGGAACTTGTTCGGATTTTTGCTGGGTTGACTTTCATCTTGATTACATTTCGGACGGCGTTGCTGTATAGCAGCTTGCCAGAATTTTCATTGAGCTTGCATTTGCATCTTCTGGATCAGGTAATTATTTGAATCATTTTTCTCGGTTTATCAATACATGGAAATGTCTTAATGAGTCTTTTACAATATGAAGAACAAATGTTCAGCACCAGGTCACCACGAACTGTTCTATAAAATATCGAGCAAGAGGCAATAACTCATGCCAAGAATACGAAGAAAGTATTCAATTACTGTACAGCTCTTATATAATCTTTGCAAATGACGAACCCAGAAATTGTACCCCGACTACTTCGGAAGGAAAATTTTTGCTTGCGGTTTAAAAAAATTCTAGTTTCCTGCTGTTCAGGAGCTCTTCTAATTCAAGCAAGGAATTTAAATTTTGCCAAGATTTGATCCGTAGAAATATGAATTATTGGAAGATTTTCAGATTTGAGATATTTTATATGCAGTCTTTGCATAGCACAGAGGCACAATTTTCAAAATTAATGGTTCCGAACATTTCTCTTTCGTAATTTTTTCATTTATAAAGTAAATGAAAGGTTTTTCCCCTAAGAATAGTTCTATACCTGCCTTCGCATTATTTTAACTCACGTGAAATAAAAAAGCATTATTTTCAAAATGTCTGCGATAATATTTCAAGTTCGACTGAACAATTATTTTACAATTTTGTTGCTTTATTGTTTGTTGAGCCGAAAACAAATTATAATTAATTAGACAGGCGCAGAATCCGGGTTTTTTCAGTTGAAAACCCCGGATTCTGCTGTACTTCATTTGAAATGAAAAAACACAAAAATAATATCTGTAAAATCCCGGCTCCTTTTACTCTCACGATAATCCTCAAACTCAAATTCTTTTAAACGTACAGCAGGCAGATAAAAAAAAAACCTGTCAAAAATGAAGAATTAATTGGCATCTTGTTCTGATAACATTGTGAAGACATACGTAATCAAGAATTTTCAACCCGAAATGTTGAATCGTTTAATGCAGATGAATGAATTCATATTTTTTGGCAAGTCTCTCTTGAATTCAAATTAAAACTTTCACTTGATTTGCAAAGTTTCATACACTCGGATGCCCCCTGTTTTTCTTAGCAGCTCCTTGAAAGTTATTTTCATTGGCTCTTATTGACGTTCAAGTACAGTATTTTAATTAACACGTTTTTATTAACTCGCTTTCTTGTCCATTTGTTTGTCCGGATCAAATTTTGCAACTCGAATTTTGCTCACTTCCCCACTAGCTAGCAAGCTGAAACTTTCAGGATGAAACTGATGACAATGCAATCTTTTGTGAAAAGAAAAATTATAAGAATATTTTTTAAAAGAATAAAATAATTATAGTAGATTAAAAAATTAATCTAAAAAACCATGTTTTTCAAGTAAGACTAAAAAGCACAAAAACATTAAGTAGATTAAAAAATTAATCTAAAAAACCACATTTTCAAAAAGCAAAAAATAACCTTAAATGTGGTGCGCATGGAGATTGTTGGGAAGAAGTGAAATACAAATGAAATAGATGCGCACCACGTTTAAGGTTATTTTTTGCTTTTTGAAAACGTGGTTTTTTAGATTAATTTTTTAATCTACTAAATTTTTTTTAAATATTCACTCAATATACCATGCAATATCGGGAATAATAAGAACTAATGATCAACTTTCTATCCTGCTTCAAAACAGATTGGAAGGAAGATGTTTTGCATTTTATTGCCGATCTTGGCTTTGGTCGTCATTCCCTTCGGCGTGATTTTCGCATCCTTGCCGTTGAAAGNCATTTTCGTCATGACACTGATCCTCTTGGCTCTGCTATTGAGAGTTGGTTACTTGATGATGAAAAGTTCCATTGCCGGTTGTGAGTGAAATGTTTCTTTGAATTGTCAGAAATATTGCATGGTATATCAGTTCAAATGTCTTTGGTTGGAACAAAAATACTCCGTGTAACATGGCTATAAATTAGGTGAAAATCCATTTGCATCAATCTTTTGCATCGATTGTAAAACAATTTGCATATTGATTATTGACAGACTGCATATATGGAAGAAGGTGATAATATGTACAGGTGGTGCCCTACAATGTGATCAATTGCTGGGAAAGGTTTGAATTTAAAAGCAGTTGAATTGCAAAACAATGTCAATTCTGATGTTTTCTACATTAAATTTAACATTTTGAGTCCCTCTGCTGGAGGTCAAATTGCAAAGCAAGAGTTCAAATTGCAAGTTGACATCCCAGCAAACCTGACAGTTGAATTTTGGGGTGTTCAAATGGCGAAGTGTCAAATTGCAAGTTACCACCTGTATATAATTGTTATTAACATGAACGTCTTGTGTATGAATCACTTGAAATGGTTCCATAAGCAGTGTTTATTACCCAAACATAAATTAAATGAGACAGCGAGTCTATCCTGCAAAAAAAAATTTGCTCTTTTGATAAGCCTTTGTTAACCTAGGGTTTCACATATAAGCTTGCAAAAATTGAAGATTAACACCTTTTTTCGACATTTTCCAGCGGATACTGGAGATCCCCTTTTGACATGGGTGTGCTTCATGTTCTTTGGGGTCATCTCAATAGCACACATTTTATCAACTGGATGGAGAAGAAGTGTGTGCAAACTGGCTCGCTGGTTGGATGTCATTGTGTGCATCTTTTTACTTCTTTGCATTTTTCTGGATCAGGAACTTGTTCGGATTTTTGCTGGGTTGACTTTCATCTTGATTACATTTCGGACGGCGTTGCTGTATAGCAGCTTGCCCGAATTTTCATTGAGCTTGCATTTGCATCTTCTGGCTCAGGTAATTATTTGAATTATTTTTCTCGGTTCATCAATAAATGAAAATGTCTTATTGAGTCTTTTACAATATGAAGAACAAATGTTCAGCACCAGATCACCACGAACTGCTCTATAAAATATCGAGCAAGAGGCAATAACTCATGCCAAGAATACGAAGAAAGTATTCAATTACTGTACAGCTCGTATATAATCTTTGCAAATGACGAACCCAGAAATTGTACCCCGACTACTTCGGAAGGAAAATTTTTGCTTGCGGTTTAAAAAAATTCTAGTTTCGTGCAGTTCAGGAGCTCTTCTAATTCAAGCAAGGAATTTAAATTTTGCCAAGATTTGATCCGTAGAAATGTGAATTATTGGAAGATTTTCAGATTTGAGATATTTTATATGCAGTCTTTGCATAGCACAGAGGCACAATTTTGTTTTAATTACCAAGGCTTGTAAAGAGAAAGCATTAAAAAAGTAAATATTTCATTATGAAAGGTTTTTCCCCTAAGAATAGTTCTATACCTGCCTTCGCATTATTATAACTCACGTGAAATAAAAAAAAGCATTATTTTCAAAACGTCTGCGATAATATTTCAAGTTCGACTGAACAATTATTTTAAAATTTCGTTGCTTTATTGTTCGTTGAGCCGAAAAAATATTATAATTAATTAGACAGGCGCAGAATCCGGGCTTTTTCAGTTGAAAACCCGCCCGGATTCTGCTGTACTTCATTTGAAATGAAAAAACCCAAAAATAATATCTGTAAAATCCCGACTCCTTTTACTCTCACGATAATTCTCAAACTCAAATTCTTTTGAACGTACAGCAGGCAGATAAAAAACCTGTCAAAAAATGAAGAATTAATTGGTATCTTGTTCTGATAACATTGTGAATACATACGTAATCAAAAATTTTCAACCCGAAATTTTGAATCGTTTAATGCAGATGAATGAATTCATATTTTTTTGGCAAGTCTCTCTTGAATTCAAATTAAAGCTTTCACTTGATTTGCAAAGTTTCATACACTCGGATGCTATGCCCCCTGTTTTTCTTAGCAGCTCCTTGGAAGTTATTTTCATTGGCTCTTCTTGACGTTCAAGTACAGTACTGTATTTTTAAATATTCACTCAATATACCATGCAATATCGGAATAATAAGAACTAATGAACAACTTTCTATCCTGCTTCAAAACAGATTGGAAGGAAGATGTTTTGCATTTTATTGCCGATCTTGGCTTTGGTCGTCATTCCCTTCGGCGTGATTTTCGCATCCTTGCCGTTGAAAGAAGCAGACACCAAAAATGATGACGACCAAGGACAAAAAAGCATTGGAAAAATTTTCTACTGGATCATCCGCACTCTA